AGTCCTGGCTTGATTTGCCCTACCAAAATGTTATTTTGGTTTTTATGAACTCCATTTACGGGACTGGGGAAGGCAGGGGAGTGGGCGGATTAGGAATGGAGCATTCACGCACAGGAAGCACAACACAGAGAATTGTTTGTCTCTTCTGAATTTTTTTCCTGGGCTGACAGAGATGAATTTTGCAAACTTAATTTACAGGCCATTAGAAGGAGAGCATTAACACACAGCAAACTCAAACACACAAATCTTTGCCTCCTTTAAATTTCTATTCTGCACTAATTAAGGATGGAGACAGAGGGGAACATGATTGAGACATATAAAATTATGAAGGAATTAGATAGGGTAGACAGGAAGGTAGAGGAATAAGTGAACAGGGAGCATAGTTTTAAGGTATGAACAGGACATTTAGAGGTTAGGCTATGGACCAACTGCTGGAAAATGGGATTAGATTAGTTAGGTGCTTGTTTTTGACTGGCACAGACTTGATGGGCCAAAAAGACTTTTCTCTGTACTGTAGACCTCAAAGACCTGCCCCTTCACTAACAAGACCAGCAATACATGATACCAATACTTGGTTACCTGTGAAGATGATGATGTTTGACCGGCACGCTGAGCAGGAGCGGACACGTGACGGCTGAGTAAGTGAGGTAATATATTTGGGCGGTTGCTTTACCCGAAACACTACTTAGGTAGTGTTTCCCATCCATCCTCCTCCTCTAACCAAAAAAAAAAAAAGGTTCTGAGCGCTGATTTGGTAAGGTTACTAGTTTTTTTTTCAGAATTCAGAACGGTGGGAATGGATGTTAGGGCAGTTGCATGTTCCTCCTGTAGAATGTGGGAGGGAAGGGTCACCACTAGTGTCCCCACTGACTTCATCTGCGGGAAGTGCACCCAACTCCAACTCCTTAGAAACCGCGTTAGGGAACTGGAGGTGGAGCTGGATGAACTTCGGATCATTCGGGAGGCTGAAGGGGGTAATTGAGAGGAGTTACAGGGAGGTAGTCACACCTCAGATACAGGAAAAAAGTAGATGGGTTACAGTCAGGGGACGGAAAGGGAACAGGCAGACAGTGCAGGGATCCCTTGTGGCCGTTCCCCTCAATAACAAGTATACCATTTTGGATACTGTTGGGGGGGGAACTTACCAGGGGTAAGCCATGGGGTACAGGTCTCTGGCACAGAGTCTGTCCCTGTTGCTCAGGAGGGGAGAGGAGGAGAGCATTAATCATTAGGGACTCCATAGTTAGGGGAACAGATAGGAGATTCTGTGGGAACGAGAGAGACTCGCGGTTGGTGTGTTGCTTCCCAGGTGCCAGGGTCCGTGATGTCTCGAAGCGTGTTTTCGGGAACCTTAAGGAGGAGGGGGAGCAGCTCCAAGTCGTGGTCCACATAGGCACCAACGACATAGGTAGGAAAAGGGATGGGGATGTAAGGCAGAAATTCAAGGAGCTAGGGTGGATGCTTAGAGCTAGAACAAACAGAGTTGTTATCTCTGGTTTATTACCCGTGCCACGTGCTAGCGAGGCGAGGAATAGGGAGAGAGAGCAGTTGAACACGTGGCTACAGGGATGGTGCAGGAGGGAGGGATTCAGATACCTGGATAATTGGGGCTCATTCTGGGGTAGGAGGGACCTCTACAAACGGGATGGTCTACACCTGAACCAGAGGGGTACCAATATCCTGGGGGGGAAATTTGCTAATGCTCTTCGTGAGGATGTAAACTAATTCAGCAGGGGGATGGGAACCTGAATTGTACCTCCAGTGTACAGGAGGTTGAAAGTAGTGAGGTCATGAATAAGGTTTCAAGGTTGCAGGAGTGTACTGGCAGGCGGAAGGTGGTTTGAAGTGTCTCTACTTCAACACCAGGAGCATCCGGAATAAGGTGGGTGAACGTGCAGCATGGATTGGTACCTGGGACTTCGATGTTGTGGCCATTTCGGAGACATGGATAGAGCAAGGACAGGAATGGTTGTTGCAGGTTCCGGGGTTTAGATGTTTCAGTAAGATCAGGGAAGGTGATAAAAGAGGGGGAGGTGTGGCATTGTTAGTCAAGGACAGTATTATGGTGGCAAAAAGGACGTTTGATGAGGACTCGTCTATTGAGGTAGTATGGGCTGAGGTTAGAAACAGGAAAGGAGAGGTCACCCTGTTGGGAGTTTTCTATAGGCCTCCGAAAAGTTCCAGAGATGTAGAGGAAAGGATTGCAAAGATGATTCTGGATAGGAGCGAAAGTAACAGGGCAGTTGTTATGGGGGACTTTAACTTTCCAAATATTGACTGGAAACGCTATAGTTCGAGTACTTTAGAGGGTCAGTTTTTGTCCAATGTGTGCAGGAGGGTTTCCTGACACAGTATGTAGATAGGCCAACAAGAGGTGAGGCCACATTGGATTTGGTACTGGGTAATGAACCAGGCCAGGTGTTAGATTTGGAGGGAGGTGAGCACTTTGGTGATAGTGACTACAATTCGGTTATGTTTACTTTAGCAATGGAAAGGGATAGGTATATACCGCAGGGCAAGAGTTATAGCTGGGGGAAAGGCAATTGTGAGGCGATTAGGCAAGATTTAGGATGCATAGGATGGAAAAGGAAACTGCAGGGGCTGGGCACAATTGAACTGTGGAGCTTGTTCAAGGAACAGCTGCTGCATGTCCTTGATAAGTATGTACCTGTCAGGCATGGAGGAAGTGGTCGAGCAAGGGAACCATGGTTTACTAAAGAAGTTGAATCTCTTGTCAAGAGAAAGAAGGAGGCTTATGTAAAGATGAGGCGTGAAGGCTCAGTTAGGACACTTGAGAGTTACAATTTAGCCAGGAAGGACCTAAAGAGAGTGCTAAGAAGAACCAGAAGGGGACATGAGAAGTCTTTAGCAGGTAGGATCAAGGAAAACCCCAAAAGCTTTCTATAGGTATGTCAGGAATAAAAGAATGACTAGAGTAAGATTAGGGCCAGTCAAGGACAGTAGTGGGAAGTTGTGCGTGGAGTCGGAAGAGATAGGAGAGGCGCTAAATGAATATTTTTCATCAGTATTCACACAGGAAAAAGACAATGTTGCCGAGGAGAATACTGAGATACAGGCTATTAGACTAGACGGGATTGAGGTTCATAAGGAGGAGGTGTTAGCAATTCTGGAAGGTGTGAAAATAGATAAGTCCCCTGGGCCGGATGGGATTTATCCTAGGATTCTCTGGGAAGCTAG